GCGGGGGCGTGGCGTGGGGGGGCGGGGCGGGGGCGGGGCCTCGGCCGGCTCTCGAGGTTTCGGGAGCCGAGAGGCCTGGACGCGTTCTCAGAACGCGGAACACAAACCCCACCCTCTAGAACGCGGCTGCAGTGCCGGGCTGCGACGCTAGGAGGCAGTCCCGCCTTTCTCAGACCCCTCTCACGTCCCGCCCCGCGCGTTCAGCCCTCCAGCCTTTGATCGGGTCTCCAGCGGTTTTGTCCCGGCTGCCCTTGCTCCGATGGTCGGCTCAGCCTCCCCGACCAGCTCCTGCTCCCGTCCCTCTAAGCAGCCCGGGCCTTTGGGACCCTGGAGAGCCTCCCCTCCCTCTGTGTAATCGCTGCCCCGGGCCCACCTTGAGGAGGCACAGGCAGGAGAGGGAGGCAGGCGGGCGCGCTGAGCGGAGCCCCGGGGACGCGACCGGGACCGCGGGCTCTGGCCGGACGCCAGGGGCAGCAGCGGCACCCTCCACGCCTCCCGAGGCCGCGCTGCGCGCCTGGAACGCTCCGGATGGCAAAGGGCTCCGCGAGCCCAACCCACTGCCTTCGCGGAGCTCTTATAAGAGCCACTGCCTTCGCGTAGCTCTTATAAGAGCTTGAGTTTGAGGAGAAACTTTGGATAACGGCCGCCGAGCCAGCTTGAGCTGCCGCGTCCCGCCCCGGCGGCCCTCCTGGCAGGGCATCCTCGGGCTGGGGATCCTGAGGCCTGCCGGAGTTGAGGTCCCTTCCCGAAGCCCCTTTGCTGGACCCCGCCGTCGGCCCACCCAGGGCCATTTGTGCTCCAGACACCCTGGGAGCCTGGAGTCTCCGATCCCTCCAGCCTTCCGCGCTACTCTGGAGGGTGGATAGTCCCCCCAGCTCTTTTCTCGTTGAAATACGCAGTACGTTGCCAGAACCCAACTGCGTTTTCTTTGTTTTAATGGGTTTGGGGTCTCGGAAATACAATTTATACGTGTTTTTCTTAAAAGAAAAACAAAAACACAGCCAAAGTAGCCTGGGCCTCCTGCTGTCACACCCCGGTACCCACCAGTTTCCAGAAAGTGGCAGAGTTGGTGGCCAGGCCAGCTTGCCATCCTAACTAACCTGCCCCACAGAGGCCCTTCGGTGTGGAGGGAGGTGCAGGGGTGGGTAGGGAAGTCAAAGCACTGCTAAGGGGTGCCAGCCCCTTATGCTTACTCCCTCAGCAAAAATGGTCTTGAGCGCTTACTCTGGGCCCGGCCTAGGACTGGGCGCTAGGTCACAGAGATGAGTGCCATACTGCCCCTTGCCCTGCAGGTCTTAAGCCAGCAGGAGTGACAGAACAGTAAGCAGATCATTAATGCTAGGAAAGCGATTGATGCATTTAATGCGTAAGGTTACTCATTCCACAAATGAGCGTCCTCTCTGCCACTGTTCCAGGTACTGTGGACATGGCAGAGAACAAAACAGGTCTCTGTGCCATCCAGTCCTACCTAGCGAGGTGTCTACAGCAGGGTAGGAACGTGGAGGAGCAGGGAATAAATACTGCAAAGCTCAGCGGCACAAGGGGAAATGGAGGCAGGTGGTAAAGGTAGGAGCCCCTCCAGCCTAAGGCCGAGGAGGGTGTTCTCTGCAAGGGCTGGGTGACTGTCACTGGGTGTCCCTGCAGCCAAGTGACCCAGACAGAATCTGCTCTGTTCTGGGGCCTGGAACTCCACTCTGCCAAAGTAGAACTTATCCACCAGAGTCACTGTCATCCTGGCTTTCATGGGTAGCCCTGGCCTAACAACTAAGAGTGCCCCATCACTCTCAAAAGCTTCCAAGTGTGCACCATAATATATATTTTTAAATTACTTTTCTTGGGGCCAGCAGGTGGCATTGTGATTGGGGCAGCTGAATTCCCACATGGCTGACTGTGGTTTGAGTCCCGGACCCGGCAGTTTACTTTCCCACTTTCCTTCTTTCTTCCTGTCTCTCTCTGGTCAACTTCAATAAAATGAAATAATGACAGTGAATAAGATAAAATAATTCTTTAAAAAGTTACTTTTCTGGGACCAGCAGTCAGCGTAATGGCTCTGTCTTCCTGTCTCTCTCTGGTCAACTTCAATAAAATGAAATAATGACAGTGAATAAGATAAAATAATTCTTTAAAAAGTTACTTTTCTGGGACCAGCAGTCAGCGTAATGGCTATGTTGCTGACTTCCCATATAGTTGACCGCGGTTCGAGTCCTGGACCTGGTGGCTTAAACTCACGCGTGGTGCGTGTGTGCCCAATATCCCGAGAGGAGAATGGAGGAGAAGGGATTGCCACGTGGCCATCCTCCCAGGGGGTGGGGGGTAATTTCTCGCTTCCTGTCTCTCTGTCTCTCTCTTTCTGGAGAGTGCATGTGCTCTATAGCAAAAACCTCTTTAAAAAATTACTTTTCTTCTTCTTATTATTTTTTAATTTGCTAAAGAACATGTGTGCTCACCAGAAGGAAACAGAGGAAAGTGAGAAGCAACCCCCATGAGGGATGGTCATACCATAATCCCTTCTTCTTCATCTTTCTCTTTCAGAATTTTGGTCACACAGGGGCCAGCAGGTGGCATAGTGGTTAGGGACGCTGGACTACCACATAGCTGACCATGGTTTGAGTCCCAGACCTGGCGACTTGCTTTCTCACCATCTCTCTCTCCCCCCGTGGTCCTCTCTGATCAAATTAAAATAAATAAAGTTAAATAAAAATAATTCTATAAAAGAAAAAAAAAGGATTTTGGTCACATACACACACACATACTCACGTGTCTAGGTGTTTTCCAAATTGCTGGGTCCAGGACTTGAACCACAGTGTCAGCCATGTAGGATCCAGCCATCTTAACTACCATACCCACCAGCCGGTCCTCTTATTTTAATCGCCATTGTTCACATAGTAGTTTTTGGTGCAGGAATACAATGTGTTATGATCAAATCAGGAGAACGTGGTATCCACCATTCGTCTTTACTTTGTAGCACTGTAATTTATGTGGTCACACCACTTGCCAAACTTCCCAACCAGAGAGAATTAGGACCCTCCTCAGTCCCCACTGAGGTTCAGGGCCTGGAGGAGCACTGGAGGGGGAGACAGGTTAATCGTTCGCGGTCACTTTCTGTCTACAACCAGCTCCTCCTGACCCATGTGCAGCCACAAAAGCACTTACCCACCCAGGCAAAGGAGAGAGGTGGTGGGGCTAGATGCTAGGCAGGAGGTCTGCAGCCTGGGAAAAGTGATCCCAGGCAGGAAACTGCCCTGCTTCAGCATGAGGCTCCACCCCGGGTCACCTGCCACCTGCTCTCAGGTCTAGACAATGCAGAGGGCTGTCCCTCCTGCTTGGAGCCCATCTGCAGCCATAGTTTGGCAAGGAAAGTTGTCTCAAGGACTAAGAGCACTTCTAGCTGCCTCCTCACAGTCCTCAGTGTCCCCCTGTTGGGCTCCATTGCTCTCCGGAAGTATGGGGTGGGGACAGATAGACCTTGCTTGCTGCAGACTAATGACGTTCTCCCTGACGAGTGGATTATAGCACTGTGCCGCCACACTGCTGTTCTCAGTCCCGCTGGACTTCGGAGCAGGAGCTGGAGACCGCCCTTCTTACTATTGCCCAGCCACTCACGGGCTGGGACACTGCACAGCTAATGAGCTTAGCCTCAGTTTCCTCATCTGCAGAGGCAGATACGATAAAGCTTCCTCAGCAGGTCTGTGTTTGGAGTAAATGAGGCGATGATCTGAGTGAAAGCTCATTGCTAAACTGTGGAGCCAACCACGCAGCATTTGCTCAATAAACTACCTGAGGCTTTCATCTGATGGTCTTTTTTTTTTTTGGAGAGGTTTTCGCTATAGGGCGCATGCGCTCTCCAGACAGACAGAGAGAGACAGAGAGACAGAAAGCGAGAAATCATTCCCCAGGGGGGATGGCCACGCTGCAATCCCTTCTCCTCCATTCTCCTCTCGGGATTTTGGGCACGCACGCACACGTGCCCGGCATGTTTCAAGCCACTGGGTCCGGGACGCAAACTGCAGTCCACTACATGGGAGTCCAGCGACATAGCCATTACGCCAACTGCTGGTCCCTCTGATGGTCTTTCTTAAGTTTACCTCCTCCATGAAGCCTCCCTGGACCCCTCAGAACTGCTAAGGCTTTTTACTTTTTTTTTAATCCTGGCCACTTGGGGACATCTAATTATGAAGCATGGGCATTTTGCTTTGACATAACAGAAGCTGATTGAAGGGAGTAACCCAGACATTTCTGAGCACAGGGATACAGAGCTGCCTTCAGGGCTCACAGCTGGAGATATGGACCCACCACCTTTAACCCTCATGATCAGAGTGGTAGTTGCCAGGACAGTGAAGGACTGACTGCTGGGTCCACGGGAGAGGATTCTTGTATGAAAGCACTTGAATCTGAGCTAAGGCTTGAAGTGCATGTATAGTTTCCAATGGCAAAAAAAAAAAAAAGAGAAGGCCTTACGCGGGCCTGTCCTGCAAACGGTGTGACACCTGGAGGTAAGAAGCTGAAACGAGCACTCTGGGATAGGGCAGTGGAGGCGATGGGCCGGGCCGTGGTCGGGTTGGGAAAGCTGCTGGGCAGGCCATCGGGAGGTTTTGGCGAGGCATGAGGTCATCGATGTGGGTTCTACATAGATGGGTGGGGGCCTGGGTGGAGTTCACCTCAGAGAGGTGACACCTGTGGCAGAGGCAGTCCGAAGCAGCAAGGGAGAAAGAGAGATCAGGCCAGGAAGATGAGGAAGATGCTTTTTTTCTTTCTTTCTTTCTTTCGTTTACTTATTTATTTCTTCCCTGCACAAGAGAGGCACCCCAACAGGGTCA